AATTATTTGTTTTATTGTCTGCTGCTACAAAGTATGTTATCATGATTAGTAATTATCATAATCTCAATTACAGGGAGGCCCTGGAAAAAGTAGCTGGCCTTTTCTGCATGTTTTTTTAATATGAATATGTATTAAGCTTTGTTATTACCGTAAATGATTTATTTCATGTGTGATTAAAGAACACTTATTGAAACAACTCCTTGGACACTCTTCATGACAGCCTGGTCGAGGTGGAGATTAAAGTGAAGAAACTGTGGCTGCAGAGGCAGTTCCTCTTCAACCTCGAGTAAGTACACATTTTACGCAAAAAATGGTTTTGAGCACAGTATCTAAAATAGCCTTGATTTGTTAAAGATAAACACTCAACATACAATATTTTAGAAACTCACTCAAACACCTCTATCCTCACAGGATGAAGGACGCAGACCTCCCCGCAGAGCCTGAGTTTGTTCCGACTGTCAAAGATGTTCCCGATGCTACAGCTGTGGAACTTCATGTCCCCAAAGGAGGCTGCCGCATCATCGCGGTCCGTCCTGCATCCCCAAACAACCGCGCAGATGGCAGCAGGCAAGCGATCTGCTCCGACAGCAAGGCGCCGGTGGTGGTGGCATCCGGGTCTCCATCAAAAGAGGACACCGAGGAAAGCCACCAAACAAGTGGCAAGAAGTCGGCCAAGAGAGCCCAAATTGATCTGAATCTGAATCGTGTTTTTCACTATAAGTATTATTACTATAAGGAGTGTGAAGTGGGGAGGCCAAGTGTCAACTTGAGCGCTGGTGACAAGGCGGTTCTGACAAACAACGAGATGCTGACAGACGACCTCATCCAGGCTGCCCAGAGGCTGCTCCACCACCAGTACCCGGCACTCCAAGGCCTGGAAGCCCCTACAGTTGGTCTCTGCGAGGACGGGTTTGCCAAGATGACAGGAAAGGGGCTACAAATCCACCACAACAGAAGAGCGCACTGGGTTCTGTCGTCTTACGCAGACGGACAGGTGCGCCTGTATGACAGCATTGGCGCCGACATGACCGCATCTCTGCAAGTCCAGCTTTACCAGACCTACGCCGCGTTTGCAGACCAAGAGAGGAACATCCTGACCATCATTCTACCAGAGGTACACCGTCAGAAGAATGTCTTTGATTGTGGGCTGTTTGCCATCGCCTGGGCAGTGGACATCGCACAGGGACAAGACGTGAGCAGCATTGCGTATGACGACAGGGAGATGAGGAGCCATTTGGAGAAGTGCTTCAAACAAGGGAGGCTCACACCATTTCCTCAGCTGACCAATCGGAGGAAGAAAGTCGGTCTAACCAGGGTCAGCAGAATCTCGCTGGTTTGCTGCTGCAAGCAGGAGGAGGGTCTCGGAAGGATTGAGGCGTGCAGGGCATGCCAGAGGATCTTTCACGTCAGCTGCCTGCCTGTCTGCCCTCCAAGTGATGGCACATGGAAATGTGGAGACTGCGCCGTGTAAAGTACAAAATGCACCGTAAAAACTGGTTAACATCTGGATAAACTGTTTGCCTTCTTGTGGAAGGAAAAAAAATGATAGAAACCTGGCTTGGCCGTCTCAGGAATGATGCCAAAATGTTATCACACCAGTAACTGAGTAATTATTTTTGCCAATTTAGACTATTTCACTATTATTATACATGTATAATCTACACTGTATTTAATATGTCTTTGATAAGTACACTGTCAGGTAATTTGCTGTCAGGACATTTCAAAGATACTAGAAGAATTTCTCTTAATGTATCATGTCACAGTGTGTTATGTGTTACAGTTTATCTGTAAATATGTTTAAAACATTTGTAAATAGCAAGAATTATCAGTTATTTGGTTACAAGACAACAACAATGGTTGAACTTCATTATTTTGTGATTTCAAGATCTGGAAAGGAAATAAGATGGACTTTTGATTTTTTGTTCATGAATGTTCACTGTTCGGGAACAACACTTCTGTCAAATGGTTGCTTTGAAGCTTCATAGTTCTAACTTCTAAGCAAATGTATAATTTTGTCGTATGTATAATTTTGTCGTGGAAGAACTTGCTGTATTAAAAGTTTTACTAAGGACATGGCATCTATAATATTTCTTGTCTCAAACTTTTACGAGATTTAGGCCACACCAATTTACTCAACTGGTTCTCAGATTTGCCCGCGTCTTTTTCTGGTTTGCAAAAGAAAAAAAACTAGTTCAACTAGTTGAAGAAAGCTCCTTGCCTTCCTGGTTGTTACAGTTTATCCATCTTTTGATGCATTGATATTGATGAAAAGGTTAAATTCATTGCTTGAATAATTAGCAAGTAAACAAAAAACAGCATGATATGTTGACCTCCGTACCCTTTGGGGCTATCAGAGGATGCATTTGACTTGACTTTGAATGTCGCTTCCTATTTTTATCTTTAAAAAAATCCGAGGACCAACAATAATTAAATTAGTGTGGGCTTAGAAGTATTTACAACTAACTACATTTTGTTGGTGAAAAGACGGGCTGAATAAAAGTTCAAAGGAACTACAGCTGGTGTGTTACGCCGAAGGGCGGTCATACAGAAACAGAAGCTGGTGTGTTACGCCGAAGGGTCGTTATACCGGCTATACAGATACAGAAGCTGGTGTGTTACGCTGAAGGGCGATTATACCGGCTATACAGATATAGAAGCTGGTGTGTTACGCCGAAGGGCGGTTATACCGGCTATACAGATACAGAAGTCTGCGGCTCCAGCATTATTACTAAAGGATGATGGTGGTGAAGGTTTCATGAAGGCACGAAGAACAGCCCTCAGTCGTCTTGTTGTAGTTGTGCCTCTTAGAGCCGAGCTCTGTGTGGCTGTTGCGCAACGAGTTGTGACAAACTTGAACGCATGACGTATATGGACGTCTTGATTGTCTGCATCTGACGTCACGTCTGACATTAAGGTGCTCGAATGAACATCTGTCAAGAAATAGATCAACTGCAGCGTATCAATTGGGAAGATTACTTTTTGTGATGGATATTTTAGTAAGGGTTAGTCATGTACGCAATGACTAAACGCGGAAATCACTACAACACAAATGCTCGGTGAAAGAGGGGAGTCAACCTAGACCTGTCCATGTCTTTATTGCCTTTGTTACAAACTCAGAAATGGGCTCCCGCAGGTTCACTATAATAGTAAATATGTTGAACAACCCATGTATGGCAGTGAATTGTAATCTTGAAGTACAATATAATTATAGACTGGTTTATTTCGAAAGGAACATACATACAGCATACATATAAGTTGCTAATTGCAGCCCGCAGGCTGAATTGGGCAGCTTTTACAATGAGATACACAGGTAGAATATATTTATGGGTTCACCACACCACGAAGTGGTGTGGTGAAACCATATTGCTTTTTCTGATGTTTCTTCTTCTTCTCCTTCTCCTTCTCCTGCCATTTTTTAAATGGATTCAGCTTCTTCATTTTAGGGCCCAAGGTCCTGAAATTTGGTATGGACGTACAGTGGGCAAATACCCCTAGGCGTTTTTTAAATTATTGTGATACAGGCTTTTAGAATGGTTTTATTTGAGTTTTTTGGCTGTGTTATAGCAAATGTATTACTGTCGTTAGTGTGCCTTGTTTACCACGTTTGGGCATGAGTCATCACAATGGAATGCAGGGCATCAACCAATAGGCATGCAGCTTTCCTCTATTCTTCTTGCTGATTGGCTGTTGGGATTTAACTTGATCAACACCTGCACAGAGCATTTCTACCTGCACAGAGCATTTCTTGCTGATTGGCTGTTGGGATTTAACTTGATTAACACCTGCACAGAGCATTTCCATACTGACAGTATGTCTGTATTCAAGTGTTTTGGTAGGTATTTCAAGCTTTCCTGCTCCAGCATTGGAATGCGGGGCATGGACGTTTTTTATTTTGAAAATCAACAGTTTGCATTATGCAATTAAAAATCCTAACCAATAAAGTAGGGAATAGCTATCCAACTGTTGTTTTAGTTGTATTTTACTTCATATTATAGTTATATCAATGTAAATCATTGTTTTCCCTTGTGTTTCTCATTCTTTCCCTGCCATGTCGTAAAATGTGGTGAACCCATCGCTGTATTTGCTCCAAAGCAAATATTGGCCTTTCTAGTTAACATGTACATAACTTAAGCATAAGCATCAAATATTGCACTAGATTATTGCACTTTTATGTTAAAATTACGGCGTTACAAGATCGGTTACAAATTACATGATATAGCTAAAAACTATTACAACTAACATAAGATAAAACACTATTACAACATATACAGCTATTATAAAAATAATCTACTATAAGTCCAAGGTGTTCAATATGTGCAACATTGAGGGAACCGGGCTACGTAGATATCTTTGTGTCCCTTTGGGTGGTTTGTATCGCCGTGTTTGCCTAAGCTGCATATTGTGTGGGTGGTTACTGTCTGCAGGTAGCCAAGGGGCGTGCCTAGACCTTGTAGCTGAAAGGGCAAAGGCCCGGCACAGGTTACGTCTGCGCTCAGACAGACGTTATTAACTTAATATCGATAATAAACATAATCGATATTAACTTACTGCTCCGGCTGTTCATCACCATTACAAGACCTACGTTAGAGTAAGCGGATATTGTCTGGGCTGGCCTCACTTTACGTGACCAAAGGACTTTAGAATCTGTTCAGTACCAAACAGCCAGGCTTATCAGTGGTCACTTTGGGATCCCATACCCTTCCTACAATAGTCTCTAAACAGAACTGTCTCTACCATCCCTCCAGTTTCGACGCAAGTTTCACACTGCAGTAACCATGTACAAACTGTTGAACGGTCGCTGTCCTCCACACCTGCAAAGTCTGCTACCTCGAGCGCGAGCGTCCGCCACAGAATCCCGGTATCCCTTACGGAATAGTGAACACTTATCCATACCCGTTTGTAGAACCACCAGGTCCCAGAGAACATTTGTGATCAGAGCTATAACCATCTGGAATACTCTCCCTAGCGAAACTCGAACAGCCCGCTCCATCAGCTCCTTTAAAAACAAACTATGGACAATACTTGATAAATACTTGACGACAACTACTTAGTAAAACTGTACGAGTTCAATAGAATTGTATTGACAATGTAAATATAGTACACAACGTAATTATTGTAAATGCATGACGTCTAGGCCAGATTTCATAACCTGTTAACCCTTAGACTGCAGCATCTGTTATGTAATAGTATGTTAACCTGACATGTAACTAGAGAGGCCGACATTTGCTTGGGAGCAAATACAGCATATTTCAGTCCATCTCCCTCCCACGCAAAAGTGGACTATTCCAAACTTACCCCAGTGTAAAACTGGCAAAGATTCTCAAATAAATGAATTATATAATGACAATGACAATGATGTTTATTGCATATTCATGCCCTTCCGGGCTAAATGCATTGGGTGACCTAACATACTGTATGATACTAGTTACTAGTACATAGGGAATTGTATAAGAAGAAAACAAAACAAAACTAACATCTACTGTATACTATAATTCATCTAACTCTAAAGCTTACAATACTAGTAGCTTACTAGTTTCTTCTCTCCTCTTGAGACATGCGTACACGAATTCACAGAGTTTCTCAATCACCTGGTGTTTAGACGATGACATTATGTATGTGAACAGTTCGTCGTTTGTTAACTTTGTAACTCTCTGGCCCAGTTTAATAGTGTTAAAGAGAGAGATGCGTAGATCTCTGTACAATGGGCATTCCAGGATTAAAATGTTTTTCATCTTCTATACAATTATTTTTACAGAGTTCACAGAGCCTATCATTCGGAGGAGTCCGGCTGTATCTACCAGTTTCAATGTGTAGTGGATGGTCGCTAATTCTTAGCTTAGCCATGGCTCGGCGAAAGCTGAAGTTTTCAATGTCCAGATATTTTTCTCTTTCATATGACTGTTTGAATTTTCTGTAAGTTCTTAATTCGTTTCCTTGATTATCTTTTTATACATCTATATAGTAGCTATGTAATTGAGAACAAAGATGCGAGAACAAGCACATTGAATCTCGAAAGCTTTACTAGTCTTATTACTGGTATGCAAATACTAACAATGATGAGATTTGATACATTTTGAAGGTCTTAGGCACATAAAATTGAATGTGTGGGTCATTCCGCACGACTTACGTGCAATGTGACCTCAGGTAACCCGCAATGGAACACGTGTTCCATGGCCAACGGCAGATGGAACAGGCCATTCTTT